CTTCCATGCAGGCAGACGTGACGGTAGGACGAATAATCAAATGCCACCAAGGGTCTGAGATTGAAAAGCCTTTGCACAAAGCATGCATTATACCTGCTTTTGAATTCTTCTCGAGTATTTCCAACCTTTACAGGGTGCACAGATTTGAAGCATATGTGGGCTACCTGCAGAAAATAAGCTGGACCTCTGATTTATGGATGCTGCTCAGTGAGGTGGTACGCTCAGACTAATCTTTCATTTCTAACAGTGGAAGAACTTTGCATTTCATTAACAGGACTCTTCCCACAGCTTGAAACAAGGCCATCTGCTTACAGGGTTTGTCAGCTAAAATGCCACGGTGAGGTAAGCTTTGACCTTGTCTATTTTAAAGCATACGAAGTGGACAAAGAACACTTCTTCACGGGTTTTTGGTGGAAAACACTTCAAAGTAATGGGGACAGGGGTATAATTTAGGCACTCGCACTTTGTGAAATAACGGTTCGATTCAAAGCTCACGGATGTCAATAGAAAGACTCCTACTGACTTAAATAATCTTTGGATCCAGCCCCAGAGGTAGAGCCAACATTCTCATGCTAATAGGGCCTGTTGATCTTAAAGGACGGTTTTCCCAACCGATCACGCCCATCCTTCGCCCAAGCTGTGAGCTCACTCGACTGCAGTTGAAAAGTCCCCTCCAGAAACGCCCGTTTCCAATCCTAGACAAACGTCATAATGAAAATGATGCCCAAATCCTAGGAGGATGCTCCCGTTGGTCCAAAGGGAGGGTGCAAAATTTGTCACGTTGATCTGCAACATTTCAGGGTTCAAGCTACATGGAAAGCTGCCCTCCGTGTGGGAAAGTGCACAACCCAGAAAGTTAGCATGAGCCACAGCAACTGGTTTGCAGATGCAGCTTCCATGGACATGAGATGCAAACACAGGGTTTTAAGGGCCAACTACTGATCGGAGCTGTACCAGTGCAAAATGAAATCACTCCCATGAAATGAGCAGGAAGCAAGTCAAAATTTGGCAGGATTGGCCATTCTAAGGTAAAAAAAAAAGTCTTAGATGCTTGCCTAAATGAAGCATGAACCTTTCTTGCAAGCCTTTTACTCCCTGACACCAACCACATGCTGCAAAAATCCTTCCTGTCTGTACACCTGCAAAGGGGCTTGTGAGTAGCAAACAGTCCCGCTCCACTACCATCAGGCTGAGTCAGCTGTCAGATCAGGAGCGTAACCTGGATCTTATCCGTGGCAGCACAGAAATGAAACTACGTGGCTGCTTCTCTCTCAAATCCCTGTGGAGGCTGATTTCTAGTTTAACTTTCCCCTTTCTGCATCTCCAACTCAAGCAGATTGTGGCAATGTTTGGGGTGGAAAAAAATAAGCACAGAGGAACAGTGTTGTTATAAAGAAGCTATGTCCACTACATTAAAAATCATGAAATAATACTACCAGCACCATGCCTAGTGCTTGGCACATAGAATAAAAACACAGTGATGTCCCTAAAAAGCTCAGAATCAATTCTTTTGGGCTTAGATTTAATTTAATTGTATTTATGATGAATTGCATTAAGATGTCCAGAGCCTTCAATAGGCATCTTTTAAGTTGCTTTTAAAAAAAAAAAAATCTGAATTGAATATACTTAAGCAAAACTAAAAATACTTCCTTATTATGCAGGTCCATGCAACTGTAACTCAGATTGCAAAGCAAACACCTTCTGCAATGCAATATCCTGCTCTATTGTTGTTGGACCGGCATTTTCATTTCCACAGAAATTTGCTTTCCGTTTCAGAGTTCAAGCATTAGGAAGATAATCTTCATTTACCAAGTATGCGTGAATTGTGCCGGCTTATTTCTTACGGCCTTTCCTATTCATAGATTCTGGAAGAGAAGAGGCAACTTCTTTATTAAGGTTCCTCTAAAAGGGGAAGACTGCAGCAGATCCCAGGACTTCCGATGGGGAAGTCCTTTTAGGTTACTCAAAGTTTATACAAGAGGCAAGAATTTCTTTGGGTGCTACCTTTTATTGGACCGACTGCATTAGTTGGCACAGAGTTAAACAAGCTTTTCAATGCAAAAGACACAAAAATTAGAATCACTTATGGGCTTAAGAGCCTGCAAGTAGGTTTATGCATGTTATCAAGAGCTGGCCATTTGAACTTATATTTTCCATATCCTTCACCCTACCTGCATACGACCAGCTAGCTTCAGTGCAGAATAGCTAAATACCACCAGAAATACAGTTAATTCTACATAGAAACATGATGTCAAAGAAAGCTGCTCGGGCTGCTTTTTACAGACACCGTGCAATAGTCTGGCAGTTTGGGCGGTATCAGATATAATGAAAGCAAGCTGCAATGATCACCAAAGGGATGCCCAAAGATAACGGTAATCAGATCTCTCAGGAAAGGAGGGAAAAGACCCAGACGAAAAAGATCCTTATCAGACTCTGCCAGGAGCAACTTTTCAGAAGAAATTAAAAACAATCCCTGCAGGTTTAAATTCCCACCCTTCTCGGATGATATTAATTGCAAGCATCCGCGTCCCCTTTCTAAGAATCGTCGCTGAAAAGCGTGCAGTGAAACAAAAGGGGAAAATTCACAAGCTTTACGTTTCTTCGTTATGTTCTTGCCTCTGCTAGATAAAACACTCACGATTTTCAGGTGGCCGTCTCCACTACAACTGCTGCCAGACCGTGGCGGGCAGTTGCACTTAACTACCCCCATTAGTGCAGCCAAACTGAGCCACTTGCAATGAGATGCGCTGGAAACCTGGTCCAGGATTTGCTGCGTTCAGCATTAAGTGCCACACAACGATAAGAATCAATTCTGCCCAGTTAGACACAGATTGAAAATCTTAATAGTTATTGAAATCTTTTTTTCAATATACAGTCTCCACAAACATGCAGTGCTCAAGGGTTTTGTGGATCTCAATTTGGCCAGGTATTGTAGCGCGCGCCCGACTTCAAGCATCTGAGCAATTCCATTGAATAGTCACCTGCTTAAAAGGTAGGCACATGCTTGATTAGATGCATTATTATTCATATAAAACTATCCCACATTTGTGGCACTGGTGGTGTTCCTGTTACATCTTCTGCAGCCAGCGTCAGAGGCCGGTAGTGGACCAGACGATGTGCAAGGTATTTACATGTGAAATGGAGAGGGTTATCTTTATCCTACGGAGACAGCAAATGAAGCAGTGGTAGAGACAAAAATTGCCATTTATTCCCTGGCACCAGAGTTTAGACAAGGCTTTTAAACCATACTTTACTTCCCATGGGCCAGTGACTCTCAACCAGGGTGCTGAAGCACCTGCCTGGCCGCTGCCCTGTCCCCTGTGCAAGGATGTGAGCCCTGCAATAAAGAAACTAGCGTCTGAAATGGGGTGCCGCTCAATTCACACCAGTGATGGAGAGCGTCTCGAGTCAAACGATGGGTGCTATGTATCTAATAAGGTTGTGACCGCTGCCATCGACACTGTACGAGAAATGGGAGGAATGAAAAATGAATAGGTATGAAGGGGGGGGTTGTATTGCACATGAAAGACACTGCACATGCCAGATGCTAAAAAACCTTTATTCCTTTTATCTGTCTAGCAGATATGCTGAAAAGCACAGCAGACCAACTTCTCTCCCTGCTGCATTTGATGGGCTTCCTTGAGTGCGAATGCGGGCAGCTTTTGCTTGCATATCTAGAAGGCGAGCTACTCTAATCCCCTATCGTCAAAATAATTTGATGTCATCTTTGGTTTTCTAGCCAGCGGATAGTAGTTTAACCATGCAACCCATTCCTCTCCGTCCCCAACCCCAATCTATGCATCAGAAGTAGGGGCAGGAGCAGGCTGTAATGTACCTATGCTGTTTTCAATGGGACCTTTCGTTGCAATTTCAAAGGTTGATGGAAAAAAACCTGCCGCCATGAAAATATCACCTACATTTTTGCAACAAGCCCCTCCACATGTCTCAATTGACCCATTTTTCAAGCAAAAAAAAAAAAAAATCATCATTAATTTCAGTTGGGGAATCTGACGCAGCACGGCTTATGCCTCTAACGACGGGCACCCGCAACCCAAACTAGTGAAGACTGGGGAAAAATGTGGCCTGGGCAAATATCATTCAGTTAGCCACAAAATTCTCCATTGGGCTTTGGATCGAGACTCAAATATACATATCTGAGGGCAGCAGGTTGTTCTCAATAATGCTATCGTACAGGACAAAGCTAGCCTATCTTTCTCCTTACAGCACCCGTGTAACATTTGTAACCTGCCATATTTCCTTGCAGAAGTTCTCCTGGTTCGTTTTCAAAGAGCGCCCTGGGTTCAGTAGCTGTTGCTGTCTGTGGCAATCTGCTCCCCATGCTGTTATGCTCTGTATAATGCTCTGTATAATGACACGCCGGGTATCGAAGCCAACCAGGCTGCATAGGCAGGACTGTGCTGCCGTAACCAGATGCTGTGTCAATTGGTACGAGGGGGCCCGAAGGAGTCTGTGCTTACGGGAGCTTAAAGAAGAAGTAATGAACATGCTTTAAGAAGGCTTCAGTTCGAGTAGCTCTAACTAACCCTTTGCTTTCATTATTAGGAGAAACCACTTGTATTGTAGAGGTTCCATTCAAGAAGGTGGCTTCGTGGATCTAGGCACTATGCAAACACACTGGGGGGGGAAAAAGACCTGTTGTCCCAAACAGCCCGCATCCTAAATAGGTGAGCTGGTAGAGGATGGGTGCAAACAAACTCCCCCCCGTTACAGAGGAAGAACCAAGGCACAAGAGACCGACTGCATGGTCCAGAGTTATAGAGGGAGCCCCACTCCCTCCTCTACATGAAAAGACGCTGTTGATCAAACCCCTTCCAAAGCCCGGCATATGTTCCTTTGTACCGACCAAATTATGATGCATGCAGCAAACCCACTGGCCTTATCTCCAAGTTAGTACAAAACGCCATGAATAAGCCTTAAGTGGCTTTGCAATGAGATGTGCCGCCCTGTTGCATTACCAACAGAACCGAAGAGTCAATACATAAATTATAAATATGGTGAACCTCCCTTATAATAACACATGCCCGTTTGTAAAGAAAACAGGAACGTCTTGCCCTTGCTGCCAGTACTTAAGCAAGGAGCAAACGGCCATTATTGCAGTCTAGGGTATAAATTGGCAACGTGGGCAAACAGGTTGCAAAGATCACAGCCCTGTGATCCGACCTGAAGACATGCATCTTGCACCTCATCCTTAGAAAAATCTATTTCCACGTTACTGCTCTCAACGGGTTTTTTTTGCAATCTAGCACACGTTTAAATTACTGTCTGGGTAATCAGCATTTGGGGAGACAAATGGTCCCGGGGAGACAAATGGTCCCTGGTAGACAAGTGACAGCCGCTGCTGCTTTATTCATTTTTTTTTCCTCCTGCAGAGTGGAATGAGGATTAACTCGTTATGAAATCAGACTCCATATGTATCCACAGATGAGCCAGCCACTGCAGCAAATAAAACTGAAGGCAGTACCTACCCTACCGCCTGAAATCATTTTGCTGATAAAACTATAATATCTCTCTGTTCTCAGTCATGGCAATATGCACCAGGGACCAGTACGTGAACCAGCCAATGCCCGTCTCATGGAGCGGGGGGACAGGGGACTAAAGGAGGAGCTGAAACAGAAAGTAGCAAAGAATTATGACATTACTATGGCAAACCTGCTTGCAAATAACACCCTTCGCACCTTTGGACCTCGCTTTGTGTGATCACATCAATGACTGAAAGCTGCTGGCGGGGGCTAGGACGGGGGTTATTGGTTCCTGGAAGGATGGACAGCATTGCCAGGGGCATTATGAATGTACAAGCTTGGGCTGGTCTATAAAATAGCATGGCCAACAGTGGCATGACCAAGTGCAGAGCTAATCTGCTCTGCCTCTAGATGCATCTATTATTACATGACTGAAAAAACTCTTAGAGCAACCTGATCTCTGAAGGGCCAGGTCCTTTTGCACCTATTCGGTGACTAAGTGGCGTGCAATGCACCATTTGCAGACTTTTGGACTGTGCCTTCTTCTTAGGAGGAAGTCACAAAAAGTGCACCTTTTGCCAACATGGGTTTTCAGGGTCTTAAGCAGGGTGACATAGGTGCCCAAGTCTCAATGAGACCGGGGAGGCCCAGTTTGATCTGAAAAAGAACGGCCAAACAATCTAGTGACACCCCACGGTTTCCAACCTGAGTTTAGAGGGAATACATTACTTCTGCAATCATGCCACCCCATTTGGGACACACTGATACAATAGAAATCAACCCCTTATCTGCACCATAAGTGACAAGGCATCTAAAAATAACCCTAGCCTGTAGCTGCAGCAGGCCTGGGCTTCTGTGTTGTTTCTTTCTTTAATGCTGGACCCCTGCATGACGTCCATTGGTGTCCAAAACTGCCACGTGTACGTGTGCAGATATGCAATAGCCAGGTGACAGAAAGGTGGGTTGAAAAGAGCCATTGCTCACCAGTTTAGGAGCAGAAGATACATGACAACTTTGAAAACAGGACGCTGAGCTGAGAGAGGGAAATAGCACGCAGCAGGCAGGGAGCGAAGGGGGATTTTTGGTCAAGGACAACTAAGCATTGACCCAAATTTGCGGCAATGAGCATTTGACCACGAAGGCAATGGCAGCAATGTTTTTGCAGTGAGTTGGTTTTCTGTGGTCTTGGAAGAAAGACTCCCCGAAATAATCAACTTGGTGGTACTCAATGCTGTGAAACGACGACGTGACCCTGTTCGGGTCAGAAGCAGAAATTCTGGGAAATCCTAATACTCTAGTTTGGAGACAAGGCGGGTGGCTTAGTGACACTGGCATGTCAGGTAAGACAGCCAAGGATACTGAAGTGCCAGCAATTAGTTTTCTCTGAACCGGAGACGCTGACGGCAAATAATTTCTTACCTAATATCTACATTTAACAACACGGTGACTGAGATCTGACACTGGTGGAAATAGTGGTAATTTAGATGGCATTGGGTGCATCTACACAAGATACTTAATGTGCATTAGTGTGGTGGGCAAAGCCCATGCTAATGAGCTGTAGATTTAGTCTAATGCACAGTAGCATCACCAAAAAAATGTTCACCTGTGCTAATGTGCGGTAGTGTTGATTATGGCACATTAAATTAGCACCTGTCATTAGTGGTACTAAAACTTAACGTACCGTAACTACAGTGCATTAAGGAACATGTAGACGTGCCCATTTCAACCCAAATTAAGGACCTACATCAAGCCCAAGGAAGTCAGAGTGGCATCAATAGCTGATGAGGTTAGCAAGCAAACGGCAGGCTGAGGCATAAGAGATGCTCATATGGGATTCCCTCTGCAAAAGTTACACCCAAGACAAAATTCAAGCAGGAGGTGAGGAACAAGAAGAGGGATGACAACTAAATCCCGATGGCCTCCAGGTGAAGAAAAGTAGTGGTAAGGTTTCTGCTGCCCTCAGTGGGAGGGGAACAAAGATAAAGGCACCATAAACTCAACTGCACTCTCTCACAATGCTGTAATTGTAGACTGGAGCCAATGCTCCATGAGTCAAGACACAAAGCAATGAACTGAAGCAAAAAAGCTCATCCTGATCTAGGACCCACAATTGCCAGCCACGCTCCTTTTCTACCTATGCATGCAGGACGCACATGGAGTTGGAAAGGCTGAACACCTACACAGAGCACCTACACAGTGCACGGCACGGAGAGCTCACGGCTGTCGTGAGCAAACCCAAGTGGATCAGCCAAAGGTTTTCATGAAGGGACAGGGTGATTTAGGGGATTCATGGGATATATGGACTTGGAAACCCCACCAAAAACGAAGCAAGCCAAGGAAACTCCCCCTCCAGCCATGCAGAATGCTAACCTGGGATGTTCCAGGCCATCTCTTTAGGGTTGATGTTAGCTCAATTTGGGGCAGGAATAGCAATGCTGTAACCTCTTGGCATGATGCAGATAACTTTTTGCCTTGACAGCTGCTGCCTATACGGTTGTCTGCTGTGTGCACTTGTAAAGGGGCAGTGGTGGGGAAGAAAGAAAACAGCCGAGAACAGCTGGGAAGAATACAGACCACGAGGCCAGCGGATGCACTGGGAACCTGTCATTTGTGCCTTTAAATCTCTCTGTGACCTTCTGATTTTGCAAAAATCTCCATCCATTTTCCATAAAAGGCCTAACTGCATGTGGGTCACAGGGAGCCAATTGTTTTTCAACAGCATTTTGCCGATCCTATTCTTAGCAGCGATCATGTCAGCTCTTCCTGAGACATGAGCAATAAATGGGGGCAGATTTGGTTCACAGTGTATGTAATTCTGCTATTCTCCTCTCTCCTGCAGAAAATGAATTTGCCGTGACAGCCACATTACTTAGGTGCTATATGATTCCTTACACACATTTCTGCAATAACAAAATCACCATTGAAACCGACACATTGAAACCGAGAACTCTTCATTCACTCTGCCTCTGCTTTTCACATTACCTCTCCCATCCTTCATCTGTACTCGGTCTGCTTAGATTTTAAGATCCTCCCAGCAGGGAAACTTCACATCTCTGTCAAGCGCCAGGCACCCTGCTAATGCTACTCTGGAGAGAACAACAACAATCACACGTGCGGGAAACTTATTTGGGGGCAGCTAAGTACTGCAGCCTCCAAAAGGGGCATGTAGTGTAGGGTCCTAACCTACAAAATGGGTTGGGTGGAGGAAACATTTAGTGGCATGGGTCTTGGTTCCCTCAGCACCTTTTTATTTCTTTTTGTTTTATCCAAGAATTAAATAGTAACCATCAATGACTCGGCAGATTTCTTAACGAGAGAAGCCTGATGCTTTAGTTTTGCAGGCACCAAGGTCTACATAAATGTTCTGTTGGCGATAGCTCTTGAATGACCATTATTCTTTTAAAATGAGAAGACCTATTTGCGCAATGGCCTGGGAGATTAAGTTTAAAATGGGAACATTATACAAAAAATTACATGCAAGCTAGTCAGCAGGCCAAATTCAAGACAGATTTAGGCCCAAGTGGCATGCAGCACCAATGAAATACACCACTGAAACCAAGCGCTATGCAAAATAACTGCTTAATTTGACCCACCACGTATTTTAATTAGGAGAGAAGCAAGCAGACTTGTGAAGATGGTGATAAGTCATTTCTTCATTATGCAAATATTACATCAAGGTAGCGTTGCGCTATCTATCACAGTACGCGCTTAACTCAATCACTTATTTTCTTAAGACCTACAAATACATGGATTACTTCTGCTCTAATTATTGCACTCGTTTATAACTTCCACTGCTACTTTAAAAAACGATTTCGCCACCCAAAGTCTATGCTGCTGGCAGGGTGCTGATAAAATGCATCCAGCGAATCACATGCTGTTGCAAAAATGCATTATGGGCTTTATGGCTCAGAGTGGTTTACCACCAGGGATTCGATGAAATTAGGGCCACAATGTGGTTTGCACGTTTTTATGCAGTTCCCACGAACAGAAGAAATGTTCGCACAGCAAGAAGACGAGAGAACGGCTACATCAATCTGCATGCATGCAGCAACCGGATGACTGGCAAGCTCTTTTCCACTATCCTAGCGCCTGATCCACCAAGGTCTCAGTATGAAAAACTCATTCTGGTTTCAGTGGGAGTTCTCTACTCACAGACTGAAAATTGAAGCCTGCCAAATTCAGTAAGCATTTAGCTCTGATGATACCAGAGGTTTTGCAGTCTTTGCTGTACTGTTTGGCTACATGGATCCATCCTCACACTTAAGTGTACTGACGAATATACTTGGTGACCACCCACCTGATTTTTTAAAAGCATGTTAGGAGTCCCTCGCCCTGCTAGCGAGTGTATAAAAAGTTATTCATTGACAGCCAGTTGAATTATACACCTGGATTTGAAGGATGTTTTTGTAAATCTGGTATTGCTACTAAAGCCTTACATTAACCAAAGGCAGTCTCTACCATGATGCTTATGATACCTCGGCACTTGAATAATAGCAAAAAGTTGCAGAATAAATTAGCTGGTTTAATAAAAGATACCGGATTTGCCCAAAGAAACTTGCCTGCCAGAATAAATTGGGAGTTTAAAGGTATTGCTTGCTTTGGGGATTCTTTTCATCCCTCTCGAATGTGCGATCATGTCAGTGCTCGGGACTTTTCATGCTGGTCATCTCATATGATCAAGCTGCGTCTTCCCACACAACTGTTATTTCATTTTATTCTGGACTACAGCCTGCAGTCCCTAGGACAGGTTTCATAGTTGGTCAGGTCGGAAGAGACCTGAGCAGATCATCAAGTCTGACCCCCTGCCATGGCAGGAAAAAGTACTGGGGTCAAATGACTCCAGCAAGGTGTTCGTCTAAAAGGTGTTTGCTTCTGTGAAGCTACTGGGCACTTTAATGTAAATAGTCTGGTCTTCTATACAATTAATTTCAGGCAATCAGGCATGAAGCTTATCCAGTCAACTACTTCCATTAAATTAATCACCTGAACTTCAGAATTCACCCTAGATGTCTTGGGGCAAGAGCATTAGTCAAAAGGAAATAAGCATTAGCTGTTCCAGTTGAAGGACATAAAATAAGAGTGTCGACAGAAGGTCCAGTGTTATATTACCCAATCTAAAAGTTTTCCTATCTTTTAACCACATTAAGTGCATCATCGTAGTTTGGCAAAAGACCCAAGAAATCATTATACAAATTCATTCACGATTATGTTCTACTTGTCTTTAATTTTCATTGTTCAACATTAACATTAGACATTGGAAAGGTATGCAATATTTATATAAAATTAAATAACAATATTGGAAAAATAAATACACTTTGTTACATAAATACATAAATCCAAACTGCTGAAACGTTTCAGCTAATACTATACTCTTGTTTCAAAAGTGACCAAAAATACGGTAGTGACACTCCATCTAACCAGATGAAGTAGGATCAGCTGCAGAATGATGTTTGCAAATCAAGGACAGAGCTAGAAGCAAGTGAGGTGATAGGATCCTAACAATTAAAACTGGACGTTGCCCTACTGCCTACAGTAGTAGCACACAGTAATATCAAAACGAGGTAGATGCATATGTATTATGTTTTTCAGGAGAGACGCAAAGCCTTGTTTCCTTGTTGAGCTCACAGGTGGTCTAATCCAGTTTCTCCAACACAGCTCCAGGGTCACTCCAACCCAATTTGAGCCAAGTAACAGTTTACAGAATTGATGTGAAAAAAAATCAGGTAACTGTACTTGCAAGAAGAATGATTCAGCCCTGCAAATCTTTCTCTAGTGGGAAATTTGGCATGAGAAAGGCATGCCGAAGAAGGGGAAGCTCCTACTGAGGACCTGGGCCACAAGACTCTCCACTAAAGAGCCGACAGTCCCATCGCGTGACACAGGCTAAGACTGCAGTCTCCTACCATACATACCTATGTGCTGTGATGCTGTTTCTGCACACCTGACTCGGCTCAGTGACACCTGGAATCAATGGGAGGTTTGCCTGGGTAACGCACGCAGGATTGAGCCCTGTATTTCAGATCCAGCCACTGGGCAAGTGGGCATGAGCCCGCTGGGAGTTACGGCAGGGCTGAACACGGCGTTACAGTCTGTTCCTGAACAGCTGTCGTGAAAATGCCAAATGCTAAATTACAACAAAATGCAACATAACCCTCTGTCTGTACCCTTCCGTTCTTGCAAACGTTCAAGCACATGAAACAAAGGTTAGCAGCAATTTAAAGGTAGCATTTTGGGGATTAAATCAACTGCACTGGGTGTCTAGTTGTGCTCAGCTCAGTCACTTTTAGCACCAACTATCAGCACATAAATGATACATTAGCACCTCGAATTAAATAGTTCATATCGCTGTCCCTTGTTGTGATGAAGCACCATATAAATACCAGTCATCAGTTTTATGGCTATCACAGAATTCACTGAGGTATGATAAAAAATAGTAGAAATGTTACCAAAAGCATCCACAGAAGCTACGGTGAAGATATAGTCCAGCAATAAGGCGTTTAAAAACCACAGCGATGAAAAGAAGTCTATATATTACAAGTAGGCCTCTCCTTGATAAAGTGCTTTCGAGTCAAATTACCTTTTTTTTTTTTAAAACCTTCTTTAACTACATTACGGCAAAATGTACAATAAAACCTTGACACTGATTTGTAGGTGACTTCAAAGTGGGCAACGTCAGTGGTTTTCATAGTAACCTAGAATAGTCTCACTCGCAGCAGTGGAAGAGCACCTGTTAGCATCCATCCTGGAGCACTAAGATTGCACCTGTCCTCAGGCGGTGAAGATTATTTAAAGGAGCACAAATGTCCCATGCCAGGCAGGTAGAATTTGGAAGCTGCAGGATTTCTTAGGGCCATTTTGCTCTTTATTGCCATGGAGGGTCACCCACCCCAGGGAAGCAGGACACTTCTAGGGCAAAGAACCAGTATAACTGCTCCTATTCCGTCCCCTTTCCTATGGTTGGAAACTGGCCAGGGGGCAAAAGCGTTTCCATATGTTTTCTTGATTCCTAGCTACTAGAAAAGCTCTCCGGGGCAACTGGCAGCTAGCATAACTTGGAGCAGAGGTTAGGGATGGACCAGTGCACAGACTGTCCAGGATCAGAAAAACATGCAAGAATAGTTTAAAGGCACCTTTGCACAGCCCCTTAGCAGCGGCACTGTATGCTCCGCCACTAAGACTCTGGGCTTTGTATGTAATGATATGTATAAACTCACAGGCACACACACATCATCTACACAAACAGGAATACATATATCGTTTATATTAAGACACGTACGTGTGAATGGGCACGGGCTCTCAGTACAGCTGTGCGCGCACAGGTACACGTATATATGATCTGTGATGGATGCATGCACACAGACATACACACGCGTGCACTTTACTTGTGAATGAAGGCAGGTTAGCACCAGAAGTCTCCCATAGCCATCACATTTTTTGCAGAGAACATACGTGCACAACGTATCAACCTTAAATATCCGCAAACTGAAATGTGTCGCCGAAACGCCAGGTTTCCATTTGCACGGCAAGAACTCACTCACAACCAAGATCCGTAATGCAGAGGGCTGGCACTTGGTTACCTAGCAAGTTAGCTTGCTAGCACGAGCCCCTCTGAACGTGGGTTATTCTGAACCTATTGCAAATAATCATCCTTAAGTGCAGTTTTATGACACGCAGCATTAGCCCCTCGGCTTTCAGCACGTTCACTCTGCTGTTAGGGAGCATCCAAAAACGATTCACAGAGAGAAAGATTTTATGATCGTACCGAGCTCCAAGGACCTGCGTTCCAGGCGGCGTCTTGAGGGCACTCCTGCATGTTGCACTGCTCACGGTCTGGTGGTTTCTCGAGAATTTCACAGCTCAGATCCATAAACCTTTCTCCATTCGGGCGCTGGCACACAACCAGCCTCGTCCTTGTGCCTGCCCCACATGGCTTGGTGCACTAGAGAAAAGCAAAGCAGCACAGGAGAGGCAGTTACCACCTCAGCTCTTTACCCACCGAACATCGGCACTGATCCAACCCATCCAAGTCCCACCATAATCAGTGACGGCCTTTGTGTCGCTGTTGGTGAGAACCAGAACGTGCCCCGGGAATTAAAAATGGACGAGGTTTTCAGAAGCGACTAGTGATTTTGCACGAGATGCAGATCATGGGTCTGTCTTCAGAAAGGCAGAAATATTAAGCTAAAATCGCTCACCACTATAACTGGCCGAACTTTCTCATTTGAGACGGTGCTTCAGAGCAAGAAGAGTCTGGGTTTTTTTTTTAATAAAAACCACTTTCAAACACGGTTCTGCTCCCCTCCACCCCAAAGATCAGAAAAATAATTTTACGCCTATTTACTCAAAAAAGTTTCCAGCATTTGCTCATTTACCGCAGACCCACTTCTCAGTACACAACTAACCATTGCCAAGAATATCCGTCCCCGTTCTTCACACGCCCTGCTAGTGAAAGCCCTGACCTATGTTTCTACAGAGAAAGCAAAGTGTCACCACGAGTCTCACCTCCCCCCAGCTGCCATAAGCCCATTGCGGACAAGGGCCAGATTCGCAGGATCTTTGCTCGATGGGCTTGGCTTTCTCGTCGCAGTTGCCCGCGGGGTATCCGTTCTCGTCCTGGCACACCACCACCCGCCGCTGGAATCCTCCCGCGCACGTGCTCGAGCACTGCAAAACACACAGGCGCCCACGGCTCCTCGAGTCCACGCTCAGCTCGTGCATCCGCGCCCTCTCCCCAAGCAGAACCGTTTCAGGGCGCTTGGCTACACGAGCGCCGAGCTGGTAACAGGAAGCAAAATCCTCCTTTCCCCCTCCAAAGTCACTGTGGTTACCAGATAAAGGTAACGCCCATGGCCCTGACACAGGCAGTCTATATAAACTAAAGTATAAAATCCCACTCTTGCTAATATCCAACTGACTGGGATGGCATAGGATCTTCCTCTGCTTCATTACACTCCTGAAGAGCAGACTGCTACATCTGCTGCCCCAGGGATTTGCATATAAAAACCCATGCATGGGGCTTTGCTGCTGGATATTTGCAGCATTGCACCAGGAAAAGACCAGGAACTGGCTGGGAAGTTGAGCCCTAGTCCAGTTGAGCCCTTTTCCGCACAGGAAGGAAGGCTTGGCCCAGATTCCTGACTGCGCTCTTGCAGCTAGCTAGGGACGGGGGTAAAATTGACCCCAGGTGGAGGATAAGGAACAGCAGCCCCTAACTCCTTAGGGCAAAGCATTCCTGGGTATGAGACGCTGCCTTAGGATTCCCTTCCAGCCCTGCGAGGAAACAAACCCCGGGTCACTTACGGCACCCCACGGGCCGATTCTCCACTGACTGCCCCCGGGGATGTGCGCGCGGCCTGGGTGTCGGTTCAGACTCCCCCCAGGGTTGAGTTTCAGCCGGTGATCTGGGTAGGGGAAGGGGTGCATTGGCCTGCCATAATCGTGGCAGGGAGACATGGAGCAGTCCTGGTCCATTGCTGGGAGATCCTCAGGGTCGCACTCGCCGCGATCCACCAGCTGGTCGTTGTAATTCACGCAGACCACTTGCCGCGTGGCCTTGCCTTGGCCACAAGTCACCGAGCACTGCAGTGAACAAGTTACCCATGAGACAATTACTCCCAGCCTGTTTAGCCTGAAACTCCTGCTAACATAAAAGCGGTTTCCAACCTTCAACTCCCCAAATGCCTGTAAACTTAGGGTGAAGTTCCCTGGTACAATCAGAGCCTACTAAATCTGTGGATGGTTAAGCGGTGTTAAAGTTAGAAGGTGCTGTGAGCAGTCGCACATTAAAGGTTAATACGTTTTTTTTCCCCCTGCACAGCTCTGATTTGCAACTAGAGGACTGGCTAGCAGGGGCACGGCTAGGAGCAGTACACCTGGGCTCTATCCCTGCTCATGAGAGGGAGGCTGGGAGCAGTGCATTCTGGGATGCTGGAGGACTGCAAATTGCTCATTTCATCTCCATGGAGCCAACTGACCTGAAGTTATCCTAACATGAGCAGGTAGAACGGCCCAGAGTTGACTGTCACTGGAAGTGGCATCACTTTGAGATGCTGACGGCACTCAGCACGCGTTACAAAACTTTAGCATGTGGACGCTCGCATTTTAAGTGCCCTTAACATGGTCTAAGTGTAACATGCAACATGCTGGGGCCCCGAGTTACAATGAGAGCATGGGAAAAGTGCCTCTTAGCAAGGGGCAGCGTATGGGAAGCACAGGCCGTACTGCGAGAAGGACTGCACTTGCTTACAGAGCTCCACTCCAGGGCCTTCCACTGCCCGCAAGGCGTGACGCTGCACACTTCTGTCGCCGATGGCTTGGGGAGGTGGAAGCAAGCCGACTCCTCTGCCACGGAGCCCTGGTCATCACGACAGCTGACGTACCGCATCCGCGTGCCTTTCCCGCAGGTCGCCGAGCACTAGGGAAGAGCACGTCATGCACATCAACACAGAAACCAAGCCAAGTGCAAACAAGAAACACCGACTCCTCTTAGCACCGCGTGCACTTACAGGCGTCCAGGATCCAAACCTCCACTGTGTCCTGTGAACGTTGGCTGAGCTCCTCTTTGTTTCTGGATGACTTGGATGGAGAGGACACGCTGCTATTTCACAGTCCTGTTGAAGGCCCACACCAGATTAAGTGGAAACACATTGGGCTACTGAAGAATATAAAGCAGGGCTGGCCAATGGGTGCATGCAGCTATCAAGAGGTTAAGGTGCAGCCCTTAGGCTCAAACCCAGCTGCTGCTCCCAATTCATGCCCCAGGAGATATTTCACAGATACTCCCGGGTGAGCTGCCCTGCTCAGGTCAGCAGAGCTACAATGGGATTGATTTGCTAGAGCCAGTGAGCGGGAACAATTAGATCAGAGGAAATGTATTTTATTACTCCTGCAAGAGGCCATGGTATAGCACATGAGATGAAGACAAATCAGGAGCGCTTACCTGGGTATCTGTCGGCCTGGTAGCAGCATTGCATTCATTATCGTCCACGACTGAGACGTAGGTACCAACAACGCATTTCACCGCTCTCATTTGGTAGCCCTGCCCACAAGTCGCCGTGCACTGGGAGGAGAAAGGCACAAGACAGAGACGGGTACATGTCTGAACCGCGATCGGATCTGGACGCTCAGCAGCAGACACTTGAAACACACTGCAAAAGCAGCAATATCTACGACGTACAAAAGAAGCCTCCCTCCTCCGCTCCAGGCATTTCAAGAGAATATTAGGTCAAATTTAATTCGCTACTTCCATCAGAAAGCTGCATGCTTCATTTGTCGCATTCATACATAGATATAAAGGTGTTTAAATCATTTAGCCATCTGTGGGCTATAAATAGACTATAATCTGTCACACCGCTTTACCTGCAGACTTCCAGCAACATAACACGACTGTGAATAATTTTGCTGGCCAGTAATGCATACGGACTGGATAACTTTTCTCTTTGTTAACTAACTAGCTCATAAAAGCTACAGCTAGCTACAGTTTTTAGAGAAAAAACAAGAAGGCAGAATACTCTGAAAGAGACCAATGCATACTGGCTGCATCTACATGTGCGCTTAACTGCAAAGTAGACTAATTAGCTGCAGAGTAAAGCATCACCATCTACACGTGCAACGGTATTAGGCTGCAATAAACTAATCCACACTGCAGTAAGATAGCATAGCCAGGGAGAGTACTATCAGGGATAGTACTGTCAATACTATCTTACCTTGGGGTAAATTGCACCCAGTCAGCCCAGCCAGACAGGGGCCAGACTCCTGCCTGCTACCTTTGTGCCCCAGCCAGCCCCTCCACCACCCAATGCCACAACCTGCAGCCCAGGACTGACCCCCTGCGACCCCTGCCAGCGCAGGCCTGCTCCACCCTGGCTCAAATTGCTCCTGTCCCAGAAGCATGTGTAGATGCTGTGCCTGGGAGTATTTTACTCTGGCGCAAACTGCTCCAGAATGCATTGCTTCACTTTAATTGCACATGTAGACACACCCACTGCTTATTCTGCCTCTGGGAAGGAGCACAGCACAAAACCTAACTGATCTGAAAAATGATTGATTATAGGCAGAGGTAGCTGTGGACGGCAAAGATATTTATTTCGCCGTGGCTTTAATAACCTAACTTTGGAAACCCATTTTAGAAAACCTTGGCCCACTTGCTATAAACACACATTAAATTTAGCCCCCAGGCAAGGGGCTGTCCTCACCGGCCCTGTGCTGAATTCAAGTGCCTTCCTGTAAACCAATTAACACCGTTACACCACCGAATTTAGACACAAGCTTTTGCCAAAGTGCTTGGCAGAGCTTCATGGGGCATGTTGCCCCAGGAGAAGGAAGGGAGCGAGTCCTTTGGCATACCTGGCCCCACTGTCCCACTTGCCAGGCGGCGCACTCCTGCTGCTGACAAGTCTGCACCGAATCTGGTTTCGTCTCCGGATTGCAGAACCTGTCGCTGAGTCGATCTTCTCCGAACTGGCACCAGGTTTGCCGATGCTTGTGCCCTTTCCCACACGTCACCAAGCACTGCAAGGAGCAGACCTCAGGCTCAGGGCCAGGCCTCAGCTGATGGTACCGGGGCTCTGGTGACAGCCGCCAGCTGAGCACCTGCCCGAGAGCCAAAAACCGATTGCCTCCAAGCACCACTTAGCAGCTGGCGGCCCAGAAGCGGGTATGCACCGAATGCTCCCGAGTCCAGCCTAACACAGGGGTCCCTTTTAGAAGATGACCCTTTGTGCAGAGCGGGGCCAAAGGAGAATGACCAGGCCCAAAACAAAACCCTCAACCAGGGTCAAAAAAAGACAAAGCCAAAGAACGTGGAGAAAAGTCAGGGTTATGAATAGCCTTTGTAGTAAAACCGTGCAGCTGAAGTGTGCATAATACTAATGATTCCTACAGGATCATCTGAGCCAGGTTCGGAGGTACATCTCCAATAACTTCAGCGAGGCTGCAGCCAGATCAACACTGGTGTAACTTTACCACAGGGCTATCGTCAGCGTTCCCCTTGACATTGCGTCCCGGGAATTGCTTCTCCGGGACGGGGGACAGGCCTAAGTAGAAGGTGCAGGGCGAGATCAGAGGGACCCGCTGGGGACAGGAGCACTTGCTACCTCCTTGCAAAGGCCTCGCAACATGCTTCACTTGCCATGCTGGGAACCCCCAACCTTGTTAGCTCTGCAAACAGTCTCCTCCCCACCCGTGGCCTTGCTCTTCAATGCCAAAGCTGGAGCACAGCTCTTTTTAAGAGAACAAGGTTTGTATCGCTTCTTTGCGTTGGTGTCTATGCACAGACATGAGAGCCTGGGCTAAAGGCTGCCCTAAGGACCGTCTCCAAAATCCCTAGCTCCGGTGCAAGGGGAAGGCTGAACTCGGTTGTGTGGTTAAGGCACTGAAGACACTACTAGGCAGGGAAAGTCGCTCCAGAGCAGCAAGACTCCTACCCCCCCAATTCACACAACCCCTTTCACAGCAGGATAACATGGGCTCCACCTTATGGGTGTGCAGGAAGAGAGAGGATTTGGCTCTTCCTAGGCAGGGTTGGAGAGAGGCGCGTAAGCACAGGCCTCTTCAGCATCCCAACAAGAGACACTTACTTCTGACCAGTCCCCTGTTTTCCACTGGGGACACAAGAAGTCACTACAGCGCTGCACCGTGAGCTTCTCCTGCTGACTGCATTTGCTGTCATCCAGCACGTCGTTAAAGGTGTTCACACAGATGGCTCGTCTTCTCCGCGTGCCACCGCCACAACTTTTGGAGCACTTAAAGAAAACGAAGCAAAGTGAGCACGTATGGGGAAGCAAAGTGAGTACCTTTGTCCCTGCCTCATCTAGTGACTCCTTATCAAGATTATTGTTGTTAACAACATCCTCTTGTGGCAATGAGTTCCACAGATTAATCTGAGGGTCTGTCAAAAAAACCCAACCCTGCTCATTTTAAATGTGTTGCCTCCTCAATCCAATAAATACTTGCCCCCTGTTCTGATATGGGGATAACTAGCAGGTTGGATTCCACCTCCCTTTCCCAGGCATTGCTTTGCATTTTTCTCCATCTGCTCTCTCACCGCAGCTATCCTCTCCAGGCTTTTTACTCCAGTCTAGCATGCAGCAGCATTCTCTGAATGGAGTAAATGCTCAACCAAAATATATTAATAAATTTTTAAAAACCCAGCCCCTGCTGGGGTTATGACAGAGGATGATACTTGAATGGTGTAAAGAGACCTGAGTCTCTGTGTACGTGCTAGAATAACTAGCTGCAGTGCAATTCAACAAGTGCAATTCATGAAACACTCTTGGCTCTTTTATTTCATATTTGGGGCCTGACTGCATAGCCCCTGTGCCCACAAGGTCTTACTGATGGTAAAAGGAGTTGTGTGAGCAGACCCAACCCGCAGAGAAAGCTAGAGTGGCTGGGCTACAGGTTGCCTCCTCACTCACTGGAAAAGCAGTAAAATCAGAGTCCATTTAACTGCATGCCTATTCCAGGAGCCATTTGCAGCTGCCAGCCACGTGCCTCCTGATGAAGCACCGACTGATTGAAAGTCTATTTTGGAGAAGGCTCCAAAATAGGGAAGCAACCAAACAGGGCAGCCAGCGGAAGACAAGTGGGAACTTTGCAAAG